TAATAATAAGAGCATTTGTATCCCGCCTTTCCCCACAACATGGGTCCAAGGCGTACATAGGAGAGTAAAAACGCATTCATACTAACACCATACACATTCATCATGTGCGCACGTTTTGACAGCAACATTCTTTAAAAAAAAACAAAAAATGCTAATACAAAAAGGCAAGGCACTGTCCATTTATTTAAGTATTTCTTAAATAGGCGTGTTTTGAGTCCCCTTTTGAAGGTATCAAGTTTTATTTCGGTCCTCAAATCACGAGGGAAATCATGAGGGAGAGTGTTCCAAACTGTTGGCCCAGAAAAAGAAAAAGCTCTCTCACCATATTTCTTCCGTGACACACGAGGTGTTGAAATTAGTCTAGAGCCACTGGATCGTTGTTCACGTAATGGTGTGTATGGTACAATGAGTTCTAGGATGCATGTCGGAGACTGGTTAGTTTGACCTTTGAAGCATAGTAGGGCTAACTTATATTCGATTCTCGCTTTCAGTGGAAACCAATGGAGCTCTTTAAGGAGGGGAGTCACATGATGGCGTTTTGATTGCTTTAATACTAGCCTGGCAGCATTGTTTTGAATGGGTTGGAGTTTTGCAATTTTTTTCTTCATTTACGCCAGCGAACAGTGAATTGCAATAATCAATGCGTGGCAAATTAATGAAGGCAAACACTAGTTTTTTTGTAGCATCAGTGTTAAGAAATTTCCTTATGTGAGCAATTTTTCCCATTTCTAGGTATGAAATTTTACATAGATTGTTACGTTGGGTCTCCATGGACAAGTCTTTGTCATAGTATACTCCTACATTTTTTGCATTTTTTGAAAAAGATTCAGTACCTTTGCCAATGAAGAGACATTTTACATCAAGAGCATTTATCCTTGAGCTGGTTGAGCATGGCATGATTTCTGTTTTGTCATCATTTAATTTCAATTTATTTTCAGCCATCCATGCTTTTACAGATTTAAAACATTCTGAGGTGTCTTTTAACAGAGATGGAATATTGTTGGGTTATGTAGACTTGTAAAGTTGTGTATGATCTGCGTACATATGGTAGGGCATGGAATGGTGTCTGATGGTACGACCAAGGGGTAAGGTGTACATAGTGTACAGCACAGGTCCTAGGACTGACCCCTGGGGCACACCAAATTCCAGCTATTGATGACAGGATTGCATGCCATCATCAACAACAACGTATGATCTATCACTGAGGTAAGATCGAAACCATTCAAGTACGGTGCAAGATATGCCGGACACGTCCGACAAACGACTCACCACGATGTTGGGGTCTAAAGTATCAAATGCTGCAGACAGGTCTAAACGTGAGAAAATGAATATCAAACCCTCATCTGCAGCATTGAGTAGATCAGAGACAATTCTGAGCAAAACAGTCTCAGTACTATGGTTTTCTCTGTATGCCGAAGAGTAATACAGATTAGAAATTTAATGCAACAAGTAGATAAATAGATTACTAAATGAAGAGTGAAATGAGCGTAACGTTCTTTACTCAAGTCAGTTCGCTTACGCACGTGCGCACACACATACACACACACACACACACACACACACACACACACACACACACACA